GAAAAAGAACTTTTGCTATTTAGGAATTAATCGGGAAATGCAAGAGAAAGTGTTTATGCACTTAGTTGCAAAATTGTCCAAGAAAAAGAAAATGCAAGAGAAAGTGTTCAGCTTCATTGGGTAACTTTTGCATAACGGTTTCTAAATTAGGCGAACCGGCGTCGAAGATTTACGCTGGTGAGCAGTTTGGATGACGCAAACACCAAAGAAGTGGCAATCTACTTGGCGATATCTCCTGGCAATATAGGGAGTAACCTATTTAGACATCGTCCCTGATGAAATATGATGAAAATGGCTCTTTATTTGCTTTCCATTGTGAAATTCTCACCATTTAATAGAGAAAACTTGATTATTTATGTTAATTTACCCGTAATCCTTTTCGGTCTATGAGTGTAGGGATGAACCCTGATCAACGACAACATCTAGTCAAATGACTGTAATCACATGCAATACGTTTGTATATTCTGTCGATATACAAGAACGTGAATATCATACTCAATATTTCTTCTGAAGTCATGCAACATAGTTACGAAAGGTCCCCTGCCGCTTCCATAGMTCACTCTATAGCTCGACTCATCAAGGGAAGTCATAGGAGCGTAGTTAGAATGTGGGTAGGAGTCCATAGCCAGGGCCGTAACCAGAACTACCGGCGCGGGGAGAGCACATCTGATAAAACCATTATTGGCCTTTTGAGTATTAGTAGTTGCTGACTTTTCAGTGTATAAAGTCGAAATGGTTTTGAAATCCCATGAAATACACAAAAGCGTATTACAACTTTTAACACTTATTACCGTTTATGATTATCCTGATTATCTTTATTATTTGTGACTACACTTTATCACTACACCTCAACAACCTTTCATGGATTCAGTTCGAATCCAGTCCGTTTTAAAAAACAAATCCGGACGATTCGTGTAAAAATTCAACAAAATAAATATGTTTTAGTACTAAATTGATTTAAAATCTAAAACAAACATAAATGTTATTCCTTAAAAACATAGATGAGCGGACCTTCAGCCTCTCTGGGACGTACACCCAGTGCATCCCCCTGGTTACTAGACTGATAGCAATTAGATACTACTTACCATATAAGTAGGCTACAGCGTTTATATCATCAGCATGCAGTGGTATGTTTACACCGATGTATTTGTACTCRGAGTGCATGATTGCTGTCTTAATGTCAGTATGAGCAATACCGATAGCATGACCAATTTCATGGACAGCCACTGAATACAGGTCAATTGTTCCAAYTGGGGGATAACTTTGAGCAGTAAATACTTCATCCTCATCAAAATGGATACTTCCACCAGTTGGRTACTGAGCATGTGCGAGCACGCCACTTGTACCATCGAACGAGAATGGACAGTTGCCRTGGGATCGACGAACAAAACTAGCAAAATCATAGACATATGAGGCGTGTTTATGAGAGACTATGATTAACGTAAAGAAAACATTCACATATTGGAAGTATTAGAACAAAACATAGGATTTCATATACTGAAATATGTGAACAAAAATATCATAATACTTTAAAATACTTGATGGCTATTAACTGACGGTTCAAAAATAGAAATAGAGCCAGCCGTCTAAATTAACTAATAAGTTTTCTAATTAGCCTCCTGTCATTTAAAGTTACAAAGGCAAGTACACGTAAGTAGGATAGCAGTAAAACATAAGGTAATAATACAAAGGAACCGAGAATACATAGCGACATAAGCATAGCAATTCAATTCAATTCAACATGAAATCACGCCAAGCATAAGCGAATGAAAGACAAAAGGAATAAAATACAGAAAAATCATTTTCGTTTTGTCTTCCTGATTACTTTTAATTCCCAGTGACAAATCTGTCACGTTTTTGAGCGTATGCTTATGTTGAGTCTGCCCAAAGAGTATTATAAATTATATTACAACAATTTGTAATTAATACTCATGATTATGCTGRGTTTTCTAAAAACCTTACGCGATTTTGATGATTGCTTTAGAWACATCAGATACTTTGGTGAAGTTGAGTAYAGAACTGTCTGACCAAAGTTTAAATGCTTTAGCGATGGTGCTTTCACAGAGCGACTTCGTCATRTCTTCACAATAATTAACAAACCCGTAAGTCAAAAATGGAGAGGTCCATGGCTGGGCTGATATTCCATAACGCTTTGATATACCTATAACAATGAACATATCAATCCTATT